CCCCCCGTTTCCTCTCTTTTATCCCCTAATCCCAGCTGGATGAGGGGAAAAAACCACCTCCTCTCCAGACTCCCAGCCCTGTAGCCAGGAGGGAAACTGCACTTCCACCTTCCCAGCTGGACTAGCCAGCCCCTCTCCCTGGATTATTTGGCAAACAAACATCTCCGAGCTAAACTCCTATTTTGGAGCTTCCGCCCGACGAGTGATTCACTGGAAACAATTTAATCAAGGATAATTCAGCTGTTCTTGGAACTGCCACAGGCTCTTTCCCCCCCCTCCCCTCCAACCCACCCTGTATTCAACAAGAGCCTCTCATGGGTGAATACTCTAAATTGGAGCTGGGCTAATTTTAGTTCAGGAAGGTCAGCTAAGCCAAGGGATATTGTTCAGATTGTTCCACGTTGTTGGGCCACCCTGCTGCTTCTCACACCCCTTTTATTGCCAGGAAAGAAACAGCTGGAGCATTTCTTCCCCCCCCTCACCCCTGTCAAAAGCAAGAAAAGGCAAGAAAAAGAAGAGAGGGAGATTTTTTTTCTCCAGGGGAAATGGGGGTTTGTTCAGCTCTGGCCCCCTGATCCTTTTGCTGCTTCTCATGCTTGAGATGTCCCTTCTAATCCTTCGACAAGTTTCTTCTGCTCATTCCTGATGCCACTTGGCAGCCTGGCTGCCTCTTGCAAACTCTCCCTACCCCCTGGCTCTCCAGAGCACGGCTGACCCCCCATCCCTGGTGGGAACAGTCGTTAAGCAGAAGTGTAGCTTGATCAGGTGCCTAAACCTCCCCAGCTACCTACCCCAAGGCAAACTGAAAGGCCACTGAGAGCCTGGCATGCTCAGGTCACCAGCTCAGCTCTCCCTGGTGTGTGGCTCTGCTCAGCATGTCCCCTCTGGGCCAGCAGTGATGGAGCTCATGGGCACCATCCCACCCCCATGCCCCACCATCCCACCATCCCACCCCCATGCCCCACCATCCCACCATCCCACCCCCATGCCCCACCATCCCACCACCCCACCCCCAGCATGAGGATGCCTGTGAGCCCCAGACACCAACCAGTGTGGACACAACAGGCAGACAGCCCCAAACCCATGCAGACCCAAGCTGGGAGCCTTGCACGTGCCTCCTGAAGCCCCTTCCCACCTGCAGCCCCCCCTGCCTGACCTTCCCCTGGCCCGTTTCAGAACGAGACGGACGACAACCAGATCCAGCTGGTGGGAGGGGACGTGGAGCTGCCCAAGGAGCTGGCCAAGATGATCGAGCAGGACAACGAGGAGGAGGAAGAGAAGAACTCGGTGATCGGCCAGCTCAGCAACATCCAGAACCTGGACCTTGACTCCTTGAAAGACAAAGCCTCGGCCACCCTAGAGGACCTGAAGCAATCTGCTGAGAAGTGCACCCTGATGTGACCCAGCTGGACCCCCCCCTCACCTGGGAGACGACGCAGCCAAGGGTCTGGGGGTGGCTGCTGCCCGCGGTGGGGACCCCACTGGTGGTGTCCCCCCTCTGCCTCGTGTGAGTCGGGTCCTCCTTCTGAGCCACGTGAAGCCTCGAGTCCCTGACCCAGATTGTCCCTGCTGTGTGGTCTTTGTTGTGTTCTCTGCTCCGAGGTCGGAGGGAAGAGCCAGCATGTGTGTGTCCCCCCCCACCCTGTGCCCCAGCACCCCCTCCTGTACCCCTGGCAGTGGGTGGGGGGAGGAATTTGCAGGGAAAGAAAAGCCCTTGAGTGACCTTGAACCACGTCGGTGTGGGAAGGCCACGGGTTGCCAGCAGAGCTTGTGGCCACACTCCGTGTCTCTGCCTCCAGGCTTCCCACCCACCCTCC